AAAATGGTATTTTCTAGCATTTAGGAGGAATTTTATAAAGTTTAGTTTTTGAAAGGGTGCCAGAATCCTTTGTGGATTTTCTTGTTTCCAGATTTTGTAAAGAGTATTAGAAATTGATGAACTAGTGGGAGACAGAGGCATTTCTGTTACCGCAAAAGTCCTCAGGGCATTCATTGCCTATAACCCCTGTCCTCAGAAAACAGTCTTTCCAGCTCGTCTCATCCACCTATGTGAATTACCAGCACTCTCCTTTATAATTTGCCCCATGTTGGCATCATTGTTCAGTGATGAAAGTCTGTTGAAAGCAAAAACAAAATGCGGTGTGTTAAGGCCGTAAAGCAAGGACTGCAGAAGTTTGTCTTAGAATATAGCTGATTAAAGGCTGTAAAACTGTCTTTTCTTGTAAAATGGATGTATAGATGGCTCTTTTACTGAAATGTCCTGCAAAAATGGACAAGTAGGATAAACAGGATTTGATCCCAGTGACTGTTCTGCCTCTCTCCAAACCTGAAATGCTCACATAGGTATCTAACTCGGGCTGAACAAGGACTGCAGCATCTGATTTGTTCCAAGGCTAGCTTTCAAAATTCAGTTAATGGTCTTGTAAAAATGTCAGGGAGCATCAAATTGGAAAGTAAACCTAATCCCATGGAGTTGTTCAGCAGTGAGTTTGAATCTAAACTTAGATTTCGTTTCAGGACTCCTATTCATGTCTGTGACTGCAGCAGCATGTTGTGGGATCATAAATCCTTGTTTGAATAATTCTGTGCACTTCACAGTCCCCTTTTGGAAAAAAAAGTGTGGCCATTTCAGGATAACAGGCTTGCTTCAGTTTTAGTAAATAATAAAAAGGATGCATGCATTGAGTCATATTCACAGAATAAGAATTTGTTTTCATCTTCCAAAAATTACCAAACTCAGGGATAAAATGGAGGCTTTGTTTTGTTTCTATTCTAAGACATATGCAAGATGGGAAACATTTTTTCGTGCATAGGCACAGGAATAAATCAGCGGTCCATAGTCCATACTAACAGACACACTATGGATGTAAATACAGTGCACTTGGTATATCTGTTCCCTTTTTCAGATATCTCTCAGATTGGAGATTACAGTCAAAGTAATGCTGAATTTTTAAACCTCCTTTTTGAATCTAAAACATGCATACGAGCAATGACTTTTTGCTGATATTCAGAAAATGACAGTCTACGTTGTTGCCTGCAAGCAACAAATGCAGCATGGAGAAAAATACATGGAGTAGACGTATACATAAAAATTTAAGTAAAAATAAATGATCAATACCTGTTGTTATTGCCTGACCTATTTCATTTTGTTAATGGTCATGAATAGAAATGCTGCTAGAGTACACAGCTGCCTTGCCAATGAACTTCAGTACTGTGCACACGCATACACAAAGTGCTATTTAGGGAGTCTGAAAATGTAAAGAGATGTAATGAGTGAATCCTATAGCCACATGTGCCAGGCCACTGAAGTGTCTGGAAGATAAATCTAGGCTTTCTCTTGCTAGTGGGACGTGTGCACACCGTACATCAGCCAGATCCTATGGCAATCTTCCCAGTGGGAGTGGAGGACTTAAGGAGTACTACAGGCTGTTGGTGAGCCACAAACATCTCAAAATATTAAAAATATAGAAAATTTTAAAAGCAGTTCTGTGGCTTTCTAAAGTGTACTTCTAGAAGGCTCATTTTAGATCTTTTTTCATGCTTGACAGATTACACAGCAAACCATCTACTTGCATCTAGATGCATATATATATATATATATAATATTATTTATTTGTGAACTCAAAACCTATGTAGAAGTGACAACTGTTTAATAAGAACACGGGAAATATTTGTGGGAGAACAGCTCTGTTCATTTCAACAATGTAAAATACAAAAAAAAAAAACCACGTAACATACTGTAAGTAAAATGATTCTGAATAACTGCAGTCACAACTGTTTTATGTTATCTGGAGGCCTCTGTTGCTGATTGTTCATATTCTGCATATTAAATACTATTAGGTCAAGTGCCAGGGCTGCTGAGCACCTATTCCCATCGATTTTGTTTATAGAATTCCTTGGACAGATCATTAGAGCTGCGTGAGTAACAGTTTCTGTGATTCACTGGCAGTTCTGAGAAATAAAAAAACTCTTAGCTGGAAAGCAGTATTTTTTCTAGTAAATAAATAGACTGTGACAACCAAAACATTTTGTTTCAGTTCTGAGCATCTTTAATAAAAGCAGAGGAAATTTGAAATCAAAGGGCTGCATTCAGAGGAGCCTGAGGGATCGTCTCATAGAAATTGAGAGGAGATGCTGCTCGTGTGTATCGTAAGTCTCCAAAGAGATAAGAGCCTGAATTAAGTCTCTCCTCTAAGTAAATTAAAGGATGGACTTAAACCCAGGGAATGCAGTTAGTGGAAGAACATGGTAACTGATGTACCACGAGGTAGGCATCTGAGTGGTTTTGGGAAGGGTATCTGTGACTCATATGTTAACCTGAAATGCTTCTTCCTGGAACTGCAAAATCTGTTTTTGATGTCTTATTTTTGTTATTTCTCATTTAACTTTTTTTTTTTTTTTTTTTTTTTTTTTTTCCCCCCACAGATGCCTTTCTGAATATTTTTTTTCAGGGTATTTCCCAACTTTTTACAAACCTAACAAAATGTTTTGCCCAGATCTAGTCTGATCACTCTTCAGCTGGAAACTCCAGTTCTTTTAGACCCACTGTAACGGCACCATATTAACTTTATGAACAGAACTGGAGGACGTTGGACTGTCTTACTGTTCCAGAGCAGGATGCTCGTGCTAATAGCTAACAAAGGCTTTGCCTCTGGAAATGGAGGCTTTTGTGTACCTCTCCCTCTCGAATTCCCTTATGAACTGTGTTTTATCACTGAAATTGCTCACAGGTTGTTCAGTCCCCTAGCAAGACTAATGAAAGTCTTTTATAACTATAATCTATATGTGCTGGCAAACTTGAATAAATTTACATATCTGAAGGAGAACAAGTTTATGTAATTGAACAGTGCAGAGCTTTGTACTGAGAACATACAATAGTATCTCTTTCACCAGATGCGTGTGACTAAGCAGCCTCTTATTACTGGTTACAGAATGCGAACTCCAGGAAAGGACATTAAAAATATGACTTTTAAATGTACACACAGGGAAACAGTTGTTTGCCTAGGGCAAGAAATTGCAAAGTGGCAAGTGCAGATTATACAGCCAGTGGAAATTGGACAATAAATTGCATTTTTCCTGGATTTCATTCCTCATCAAAGGACGATGCTGTAGCAGGCTGCATAAGTCACTAGGAAAATGATTCATGGAAAAGTATAATTTCAAACTATATGTAACATGTAAATTCTCATTATGTGTACAGTTACTTGGTTGTATGTGTTTATTCCTGTGAATTCAATGCAGGGAAATGCCAGCTTTTTGCTTTTATCAGTAGATACCTATGAATAGAGTTGGCACTTACATCAGTGACAAAACTTTAGATCAGAAGACAGAAGGGTGAACCGGGGGGAGGAAATGGTTTTACCATGTTTTGTGCTGGGTTTTAAAAGAAAAGTAGTAATAACAGTAGTATCTTCTAACCTGCTCTTAGACAAATACTTTAATATTTTTTTCCTGTGACGAACTTGCATTTTAAGCAGTGAATTAAAAGGTAGACATTTTCAAATTTATTAAGCAAACTCACGAAAAAGGGGTAGCTAGACATAAGAATTTTACTAAAATGTAAATCAGTTGTGTGCCCAGTAGGCATGTGCTATTACTGACCAGAAGAAATGAAATTTGCACACTTCTAAGCTGAGTGGGTGTTGTTAATGTTAGCCAGTGGCTTACAGGACTGTTACAATAAAGATGAGAAATGAAATACTTTTAGTCTGATGTACTGTGTACATCTTCATGAAACACTTGATTCAGAGCTCCTGGAGGGGGAAATTATTTTTACAGTCAGGAAGAGGCAGACTTAGAACTGTCTAATAACTTGAAATCTAGATGGCCAGCTCAGCCAGAGGCTCCTCCTGATGCAATTCCAGCTGCTCTTTCCATGGAAATGAATTCCTTCTCTTATCTGTTGTGACACATAGGTGAAAAGCACGCGGCAGAGCCAGATGACGCAGAGCTCGTGAGCCTCAGCAAAAGGCTGGTGGAGAATGCAGTGCTCAAGGCTGTACAGCAGTATTTAGAAGAAACACAAAACAAAGCCAGACAGACTGATGGGAGCCCTTTGAAAGCTGAGGAAGCTGCTAGTGGCACTAAGAATGAGAGCAACAATGGCAACAGCAAGTGAGCACTGTGCAAAAGCCTGGGAGCGAGTATCCCACCAAGAATAACAGCAAAAAAGTGTCCCAGCTCCCTGCTGAAACTTGCTGAGCGGTGCTGGGTGACAGGCACTCTGCTCTGAGAGGCTCTTATCAGAAGTTTGTTCTAAATCGAGGGACACTGCCTGCTGGTCTAATAAGCGCTTGCATTGCTGAAAATCTATTGAATGCTGGAAAAGGACAAGAATGGTGAAACAGCTCCCGTCTCCATGGGCTCTTAATACCAAGAGTCCCTCCCTTGCTTTTGAAGAAGAACTGTGTTCTCTGTGTTTGCCTTTTGGATCGTAAGGAATGGGCACGAAGAGGCCTTGCCACAAATGGAAACAATGCCCTGTGCACAGCCTGGCACTGCCATGGGGCTGCAAAGTCAGCAGCAGGCATCCCAAGCTAAAAATTACCACTACCAGTACTCGTCACAGATACTATTACACAGTATGTAACATAGCAGGAGTTTCTCTGAAATGTGACACCTTTCTGTTCTGTATTTTTGGTAACCGTTGTTGATGCAAACTGTGTGTTTTCTTTCAATGGAGTACCTTTTTATAAAAAAATATGGGGAAAAAGCACTTAACACTGTCCAAAACAGATATGGTTGGTCTCTGTCTCTGTACATTAATGATTCTAAGTGACGTTAGTTATTATAAAATGTTATATTGTTCTTCTTCTCTAGGAAAGAGCCATGAAGCAGACTTTGTAAAGGAAGCTTTGCACAGAGAAACACAGGCCCTGTTATCCGGGCTGAGTCAAATAAAGGAGCTGTTATCCACGCCTGAGGTCCGCATGAAAATGAGAAAAGAACTGTTTGAAGATGGGCACAACCCTAACAATAAATGGAAAAGTTATATCAACTCTGGATCTCCAAATGAATGATTGTAAATTGCTGTAGTAGAAGACCCTCATCAGGTTGTTTGAAGATGAAAAGTATTTCAAGAAATTTTCCTTTCTCTTTTCATCTTTTTTTTTACTGAAAATACGAATGGGTGTCAATGTCTCCTGCAGAATAATGCTGAAGTACTTGCACAGAAGGATTGTAGTTCATCATTAAATACAGCCGCTCCTCAGCACTGCTTTGAAACACACTTGAATATGCAGGTATACATCGTGGTTCCAAAGTGGAAAACTACTGATTTCAAGTAAATCTGAACAAACACTGTGCCCTTCCTTTATCATTGCAGATACTTCAGACTTTTCTCATGGATTTTTTTCTCTAGCAATGATATATGGATATTTAAAAAAATGGATGCTTTTAAATACTTTAAAATGTGTATTTGGAAAAAGGTCTTTTAATTCTCTGCCTTTTATATGTGTACCAGCGTTTTGGGTTAGCACTGTCTATTTTTAATTGTTTTTTTAAAAAACAGCACTTGAATATGTGTGTAGATGCTGATATGCTGTTTCTGCAGATGTTTACACTACCACAAGAATGTTTCAAATTTCAGAATAAAATTCAGGCTCCGCTAATGTCAATGGCAAACATTACTGGCTTTAATGTAGTCAGGATGCTGCAATTAAGATCTTCTGAAAATAATAATATTCCTTGATGGTATTTGCCTTTTCTTTTTTTTTTTTTTTTAGAACAGTGTTTTATGCATTCGGGTTGTGATGTTTCTTCTATCTCTGCCTTCTGCTGCCTGGGGTTGTGTGTCAGTTTACTCTTACTGTTCCTCCCATATACCCGCAAGATTCAGAAAGGCTTTGGATGTACAATGCAGGAGTAGGTCCAATATTTGCATTTTCTATGAACGTTGTTTAAAATTGCCTCTGGTGATAAAAGCTATTTCATACATGTTGCGGTTGGTATCAATTTTGTGCTGTTAAAACAGCTGTGTGCATATTCTTCATTGATATCAAGCACTGATCATTTATCTCATGTTTCATGGCTTACATTCTTTTCCCTCACTGAGTATATAACAGTGTATTCTGAAATGTCATACATTTCTCAAACCACGCTCGCAATAAAGTATTTCTTCCTTTGCACTGTGTATGTTTTCACCTATTTCCAAATAGGCTTTAATAAAATGAAGTGCTTTGTAAGTAATAAAAGTGACAGAACCATTGCTCGTATAGTCAGCTTGGTGGAGCTGATTCATGGGTCTAGAGCCAAAACACTGATCTGGAGTCTGAGTGCTGAAATCATGTGAAAAAATTTATGCAGATAAGCTAATCCCAAATCATTGCTGTTTCAAGAAGCCACCAGTTACCTCATTGTCTTCCTTTAAATGCTAATTTCATTGGAAAGTTTCCAAGGCAAGATTTTAAATGATAAAACTTTAAAATCGGGTTCAGGTGATGTGGGTTTAGATTTAAGGAGGTACTGCTCCAACTTCCTTCAGGTTCACATCCAATTAAGTTAGAATTTAACAAGTGGTCTCAAATATAATTTAAAAAAAAAAACAAAAACATTTTGGCATCCTACTGGATATAAAAATCCAAACTTCCACAGGTGAGTCCTATCATTTTCTGCACTGTGCTTCTCTGGGCCCGGCATGTCCTCTTATTCCACAGGATGCCTAAAACTGGAGAGAGAAGCTGTAACTGTTGTATCTCTGTATAAAATCTTATTGGTCATATCAAACTGATTTGACATCTGATATGTATTGTCAAGAACTACTTCATTTGGATATATCTATTTACCATGGCATCAAGTAATTTAAATACAACTTACATATGGCAACACAAAGCAGGAAAACAAAAAACTCTATGACATCTGAGTCTCAGATTGTCACCTCCCTTTCATCCACACAAGTCACTGCCATGAATGAGTGCCTTTTTGTATCATTGTGCACAGCAGACATAATCCACTAATTTCAAGTAAAGCTGTAGAAATTGATGTTTCAGTGAAGCTACGTCCAGACACTTTGATAGGTGATCTGATAGTTGGAGACTCCACACATTTACAGTACTTACGGCCATCATCAAGAATAGAAGCTTGAAAAAGTAAATCTTAGGGGACGTATTGGTCACCTGGTGTCATTTGGGGTGTCCTGGTGTGGGGGATATGACAAGCGAAACTCTACGGAGATGTGTTCTGGATCAGGAATGGCTGGAGGCCGCCCCAGAGCATCTAAGAGACACTGATGTCCATATCAAAGAAACTGGACCCCATACTTGATTTTGAGGTGTTTTGACCCATGAAAGTAAACAGGGCTTTTGTTTCAAAAGCATTTCAAAAGCTTTTCCAACTTGAGTGATTCTGTGATTCTAGGATTGTTTCTTCTAAAATTCTTTCTTTTTGTCTTTGTTTGTTTGTTTGTTTTACAAGGTAGCACTACTAATTTACTCAAAATCAGGCTCAAAATAGGGTTAAAAACAACAACAGCAACAAAGTACATGTTTTTGTTTGATTTTTGGGTTGGGTTTTTTTTGTTGTTGTTTTTGTTTTGTTTTGTTTTTGTAGCCACTGGCAGTGGAGTGAACACTTTAGAGTGCAGGTGCACAGAGACCAAACCTCGTGTAGAAAGGTGTGAAGCTCTCAGAAGCGTAACAGCATGTCCCAGAAAAAATATGTTGCCTTCCTCCTATATCTTCAGACAACAATTCTGGTTTTTATTTAAGTGCTTCTTTGGAAGAATGTCTTGAGGTAATGGTGCACAGGTGTCTCACTCCAATTTACAGGAGGGAGAGGAGGTTCTTTGATATCTGTATACCCATCATGAGATTAAGAAACAACAGTTCTAATGTTGGTCCGACCAGTTTATTACAAATCTTAATCAGGGAGATGGGGAAGAGGAGGGCGGACACTGTTACAAATTAGGGTGATGAGGAAGGGAAGAGGAGCAATAGAAAAGATAGGAAAGAAGCAAGGAGTCTTTATAGGAAGCAAGAGGGAGATAGTCACCTCCATGGATCTAGTGTGGTTTGTAGTTCAGTGATTGATCTTCAATAGTGGTGGGTTGTCGGGTGTTTCTTTGATGACGACGGTGACCACGGCAATGATGGCAACTTTTCAATGGTAGTACCAACTTATTTATACATCCAAAGTGGCCAAGTCAGCTCTCTTTGGAGTGGCAGCTTCTGGCTCTGGGATCTCAGCAGAAACTCCTTTGTTCCCATCTTCCAGGCCTTGCCAGCAGATAAGAGGGAGCTGGGAGGCGCCAACTTGTATCTTGCCTTCACAGGATACAATGATATCATCCCCCAATGTCCCACAGCAAGCTGAAGTTATTTGGTCACACCCCAGATCTTCTGCCAGTAAACAGCCCTGAGGACTTTCTTCTGAAGGCAAACAGCTCCAAAGAAATGCTTTCAAATGTGAAATTGTCCACACAGTTGATTGCCACACGGCAACACCCGTTGCTTATCTCCTAGACAAGTCAGTCTTACCACAAGAAGTACCTCAGGAAGCAAGCTTTGAGCCAAAACCAAAGAAGGATTCATACAACAGGTTATTCTGGGAAAGTGTTGGTATTAAAAACAGATGGTGCAAGTGTGTCCATGTTCTGTTCTCAGTTCTAGTTCACGCTCCACACTATTTCTGTACTGCTGGCTATGGAGATGTTTGTGATGGTTCCAAAGCAGCTTCCAAGTCTGGCTGGATCTCTTCGAGTTGCTCTGAGGAACTGTGTCTGATATCAACACTTGCTCCGAGTAGAAGCCATGCTTTTGATACCTCAACAACCCATGCCATAGATTGTCTGCACTGCTGAACTGAGGTGTTAGGGGTTGAAGGAGTAATGAGAGAGATTAGTAAATCATAATGTAACCCAAATTGGCAAGGGACCCACAAGGATTGTCATGTCTGACTCCTGAAATCATGTCTAAGTCCTGATAACAGACATGAATTCACTGATGTGGGGAGAGAGACTATTTTAGAAAGAATGACTCAAAGCATAGGTGAACATGGCATGAAGATGCTCAGTCTGCAAGGAGACTAACACAGCAGATAATGTGCAGGAAGCTTTTGGGAGACAATTTAGTGGTGCTTTTGTGTTGGCTGAAGGTGATACAGATCTAAACAGGGACTGGAACGTCAGGAATGATTCAGGCACTGAGTATCCAGATACACAGATACTGGAATATACTTTGGATAATACATTGTATCTAGTGGTAGAGTTATTGAACTTTGATGCTTTCAATGGTAAAAATGCTTCTTAAGGTTATACAAGTTGGAAATTAGGATTTAAGAGACCTCATTTTTTGAATTTGTGGACGTTCATGATTTTTGACTGCACACTTCTGTGTATACTATTTCAGCCTAAAGGCCACATTGGGTCAGTGAGCAGTCAAAGTGTGTGAGCCATGCTTTGTTCTAGCAACGAGAATGATACCATTCCATTTTTATGTCAATGTAGAGATGTGACGTATGTCTTCTCATTAGAATTCTGATTTTGTGAAAGCCCTGAGGAGATACTACAGATTTCTACAACCAGCCAGCAGGAAAAACAAAAACATTGAAGCCACCACACTCAAGAGAGCTTGTAAATTGAACTTCAGTAGAAATACACATGCACATTTTAAATTCGGTTGTGCCTGGGAATATGCTGGTGAAATTAAGTGTAAATTGACACTTTTTCTCTGCAGATGAGACACCAGCTGCACAGGCAGAGCTGGCCCAATGGAAGCCAGGAGTGGATCCCATGGCCTCAGAGGGAGATGAGTTGCTGGACACCTGTGGCTGCGCTGCTCCTCACCTGAGGTTTTGTTTAGTGCAGTCTTCCTCAAGGCAGCTCTTTATCTGTGCATGCCCCCTGCCTCTGTCCAGCTTATAATGACATGTTGTCTGAGCCTTAGATAAAGGAGAAGCTAAACTGGCAATTCCCTCTGCAGAGGAGGGGAAAAGTAGACACTGAAATTCCAAAGAAGTCTGTGTCTTTGCCACTTCCAATCTGGTTTACAGTGGGAGGGGGCAGAGGAGGCTGTCTTGCTCTACAGGTGGCTGCTGTTGGAGCCTGAAGCAGCCTAAAACCACTGGATGAAAGCAGCTTCCAAGGGATGCACATCCTAGAAACTAGCCATAGGTGGTTCAGCTGCTGGTCAGATGAAGCATTCAGATGAAGCTGCAGTGTTTCAGCCTTCTGGAAATTGTTCCCAGCCAGGCTCACCTGGTGGCCTCATACATGAGCACCTTTTGGAATTTCAGTTCCTCCGTGAGGTTTCATATAATCATAAAGCTTGATGTGTGAGCATGGTGGAAACCTTGCTTGCAAAGGACTCCTCATACTAATGGCAAGTATAATGGTTCTTTAGAAATTATTTGTACTTTCAGTTAAGCAAAATCATGAAATTGGCCTGGCTTCAGAGACCAAGAGTCACACCATTCTTATGGGAAAGGAAACTAACTGAACTCAGTAAATGAGAGCACATGAATGCTGGTGTGTGTTTAACTCCACCACTCCTTTGATCAATACAATTTCTGGATAAGCAAGTTCTCAGCGTGCACTCATCCTCTCATTTATATTCTCCTCGGTTAAGTCTTCATAATGAGAACATTTGTGCAGAATGAAAATCAGTCCTGAGAGACAGCCGGGCTGAGAAGTAAAACACACTCATAGTGGCTCAGTAATTAGAACAGTATATAGGAAAACCAAAAGAGATACGGCTGCCATTCCTGGCATAGCAAAGGGGGCGTGCTGGCATTGATAAGCAAGTGTTGGCACAGCGTGTCTGACTGCTGGGGTCTGCTTTCCACTCCCACAGTGTTTGGGTTTTGTTTAACAATTCTCAGATTCAAAATGCAGTGACTAGAATGGGGAACTACCTTTTCCAAGGGCCTGTCTTCATTACTGGAAATTCAAGTCCGCTCTGGGGTTAATCAGAAGTGGAGAATTAAGGCAGTTAGAAGAGCTGATTAAGAAACAAACAATGCATGAAGATTTCAGCAGAAGCTTATTTGAAATAAAAGTTTTTCTTTCAGATAAGAAAGGGATGTTTTGAGGATGGAGGTTACTCTGGAGGTTCTGGGTTTTGAGGAAAATTACAACTGTGAATTACAAGTCACAGAAAGCATTGCACTTCTGGAAATCTTTTTTTTATTCTTT